GCCTCGAAAGCTGCGGTGGCTTCCCCACTCCAAACAAATGCTTCTTTTTTTAACAATTCAGTTAGAGGTCGGGAAATCACCCCATATCCCCGAACAAACCTCCTATAATATCCGGTCAGATCCAGAAACCCCCTCAGACCTTTAAGACTCGTAGGTTGAGGCCACTTAAGCATGGCTTCTACCTTGGAAGGGTCTGCTGCCACCCCCTTGACTGAAATGACATGACCCATATACGCCATCTGAGGCCTTGCAAACTCACACTTCTTCCCATTAGCCACCAACAAATTTTCTTTTAGCAGAGTCAGCACCTGCCTTAAGTGGTATTGATGCTCTTCTAGACTCCTGCTATACACCAATATGTCATCGAAAAATACTAACACAAACTTCCTCAAAAATGGCCTCAATACTTCATTCATTAACCCTTGGAACGTTGAGGGTGCATTAGTAAGGCCGAAAGGCATTAGCAAGTATTCATAGTGCCCCTCGTGTGTTCTAAAAGCAGTCTTGTGAATATCCTCCTCTCATCCAAATTTGGTGATAGCCCGATTTCAAGTCCAATTTGGAAAATATAGTGGCCCCAGTCAGTTCATCCAAAAGCTCATCAATAACTGGAATTGGAAATTTATATGGTACGGTTACCTTATTCAACGCCCTGTAATCTACACAAAACCTCTAGCTCCCATCTTTTTTTTTAACCAAAATTATAGGACTAGCATAAGGGCTGATGCTAGGTCTAATAATCCCGGTTCTCAACATATCCTGCACCAGTTTTTCAATCTCATTTTTTTGATAATACGGATACCTATATGGTCTGAGGTTAGGGATCTCTGCCCCCTCCTTCAACTTGATAGCATGGTCTTGCCTTCTTGACGGAGGTAGTCCCTGGGGTTCCCTGAAAACCTCCTCAAACTCCTCCAGGAGTTGCTGAATACTAGTAGGAACTGCTCTCATCTTCTCCTCTGACTCGGTTTCAGCCACACAACATTCCACCCAATAGATTTCTTCCTCCTCCTTCAATTGCCTGAGGGTGCCTTTCAATGGTGCTTCCGACACACTCAAGGAAGAGTCACCCTTGATTTGATAGACCTCTCCTCCCACTCTAACCTTCAAGGTTAATTTTCCAAAATTAGCCTTAATTTCTCCCGGCCCCCTCAACCATTCCATTCTTAATATCACATCAACACCATCCAATGCAAACAGATAGAATTTCTGCTTCAAAGGAACCCCCTGTAACTCCATTTCCAGCCCTGCGCACACCCCCTGCGCCTTCACATTATGACCATCCCCTACCTTCACCCAATACGGTTCCGTTCTCTCCACCACCAACCCCAACTTCCTTACCACCGAATCAACAATGAAATTGTGGGAAGCCCCACAATCCACCAAAACCAAAATTGAATTATCTCCTATCTTCCCCCAGCATTTGAACGAATGTTTTGAAGTCATTCCTACCATACTCCGAAAATCTAATGTTGTGGTGGACGGCTTACCACTCCATTGGATTTCCTCCTCTTCATCCTCCACTACCACGCCCTCTTCCAACAACATTATTCGGATTTGTTTGTTTTTGCACACATGTCCCGGTGAATACTTCTCTTCACATCGGAAACAAATTCCTCTTCTTCGCCTGTCTTGGTACTCCGCATCGGTCATATGTCGCCAATTTGTTTTTCTTGCCCTTCCGATTATCCTCCCCTTTCGTCCCCGTGGGTTCATCTTGTTTCTTCTTCTCTTCGTCCCTCCGGCTGCCATAAATGTTCTTGTTCCATCCCCCTTTGTTATTGGTGGTCGACGATCCACCCCCCTCCTTCCTTAAAATCGAATTTCGGGACTCTATCAATAGCGCCAAATCCATAATTTCTTCCAATGAATTGAGTTGATGCAACCTCAATTCCGCGTTAACCTCCTCCTTGAGACCATTCAAGAAAATGCCCTTCAGATAATTGGTATCCCCGATCCGGAGAGGCCCAGAATTGGCCTCGAACTTCTCCTTGTAGTCAGCCACACTCCCTTCCTGCTTAAGGCCCAACAACACCTCGTAAGGGTTTTGTACCATCTCGGGCTGAAATCGTCTCAGCCATGCCCCTTTGAAACCCACCCACGCCGAATTTTGATTTCTGCTTTCCCACCATTGGAACCATGCCAACGCCTTCCCTTGCAACGCCACCATAGAAACCTCCACCTTCTCGTCCTCCAATACCCCCTTTAATCTGAAATATCTCTCCATCTTCCCAACCCATCCCAGCGCGTCATCCCCCTGGAACACTGAAAGTTCCAGGTTTTGCCACTTCCACCCGTTCTTTTCCATTCTTGGGACCACTGACATTTCGTCCCCTTCGCGGCCGTTACTTCCCATTGTCCCCATGGTCACTCGCATTTCCTTCACTTGCTCCAACATCTCGCGCATAGCCCCCTCGATGTTACACTGCCACTCATTTTCCTCAGCCGCGCGTTTCTGTACGTCCTGCAATCCCTTTTCCACCTGTTCCAACCAAAACTCCATCTTCTTTTCCATCCTTGATCGCCTCAGGTTCGTAAAAGCTCTGATACCAGTTGATAGAATCTACCGGTAAAAAGAGAGATCGTGAAAGAAAGAAACAGAGAAAAAAAAATGTCTGCAAGGTTTTTATTGACCCCCTCGCTGAGCCATGCCAATGTTCAATCAAATTCAGTACTCAAGGCAATTTCGAGAGTGCCAGCTCTCCCTGATTACAATTCTTCCCCCCCTTCTCTTCCCTTATGTCTTCCTATTTATACAATATAACAGTCCCTACAGAACTCTTATCAGATATCAGTTAGTTATTAAAAATAACTAACTGCCTCCCTTTTCCCTCCTCACATAGACCTGTTTAACCATAGGTCTTCTATCACATTCCCTTTGGGAATTGCTTTGGATCAGCAATTCAGTGTGATAGGTCCTCATTATTTATATTGTAAAGATAAATATGCCTACAGTAGGACTCCTACAGCCATCAAATTCTGATTGGCAAATCTGGAAATTCTGGTTCTTGTCTTTCTCTGAACTCTAGAGGACTTGAAAAATCAATCTTACAAATTAGATATTTAGATTACAAGTATTCCTAGCACATAATGAATATAGTTTCGCATTCATTCAGTATATAGTGTTGGTGAGTTGCATTGACATTTTTGGTGGATGACTATTACATCTCATATTGAGGCTTTCCAGAATTGCTATCTTGAGATATAGTTTTTGGATGAAGTGCATGGTTCAGATTAGAGAGTAAAGTGAACTATCAATAACCATCAAATAGAAAATCAAATTTAAATTATGATTGAAAAAAAATGTGCATGGATAACAAACTTTGAATTTTTCATAAATCAATCCCTTGGTTCTTTACATCAGTAGTTATTTCTTATTACCCTGCACTGTGCACTTTATAGTATCCAAATCCTTCAATGTCTTTTACTGGTTGGAAGAAATGTTGGATGATGTCACTGTTGCCAACTTTGCCATCTAACTCTGATATGCCCATTTTTGTGTTCATAAGCCTTGTTCATGCTTAAAACCTTTGATAAGTGGATTTTTCACTTTATGTTTATCCAGGAAGAAGTGCTAGCTAATGCCGCTGTCGTGAAGTCTGGAAGAAATTTGACTGTTGTTGCAGTTGAGTTTAAACTGAAGAAAACTGGGAATTTGCTCTATATTACTCATGCTACCTTCTATAACATGCCAGCTTCCAGTTTATGAATATTTAGCTTCCTGGTGGATGTTGTTCAGCAGTTTCATTTTAATGTTTTTTCCATATCATGATTCTTCAAATCAGGCCGATTCTTATCAGTGATAAATTTTTAGTGCTTTATTATTATGTGTTAATTATGCCTATTGCCATAACAATGATGTTGATAAATTTCTTATACAACAAATATGATAATGTCAAAAATAGACTGTAATAACCATTAATTTAGGACTTGCCAAAGTCTCTGACTCATGGAATTATTTTTAGCGAAATAGGAGGACTATTGCGGTTGATATTCAACACTTACCTACGAATAGTTTGAACTCAGATAAACTAGTTTTTTTTTTTATCTTATTTAATTTATTAAAATTAGTACCTTAATTTTTTTAAATGATGTAATGTTTTTTTCCGTCCAATTGAGATATAATGACATTAATTTCTTATACATTTGACATAATAAAAAAATGACATGTATAATTATTTGTACAAAACTTTAATATCGTTAGTTTTAATTAAATGACAAGAATCATATTACATTATTTTTTTTTTAAAAATGAGAAATTAAATCGAATCTTTTAACAATAAATTAAGAGACGAAAAGAGTATTTAACCTTTGATGTATATATTGGAAAAGATGAGAATGTATTGTGCGATAATATTCGAGATGTCAGTGATTGTCACTACCATACAGTTAATATATTGATTTTTCTCTTCTTCTTTAGCTTTCGGAACTTGATTACTTGTTGCCAGATGCACGGCCACCAAGCACAACTTTTTGGTTTTAGAAGAGAAAAAACTGTCAACAAAAACTAAAACATAAACAGTAGTTTCTAGATATAAGAAATAAAATATAAAAATTGTACAAATGTAAAACACTAAAAACAATAATACAAATATAAAAGACTAAAATATAAAATACAACGTATTTTTATACTGCCTATGACATCTATAGTTAATGACAATTTTTTTACATTAGTAATCAATTAGAATTATTAATAATATCTTTTTTATTTTAATTTAATTAAATAAACAGATAAAAAAGTATTATTAACAACTCTAAACGATTATCATGTAAAAAAACTTTACATTGAGGTGATTAACTCTTTTTTTTTAATAATAAGACAAACAAAACTAGAGTTTATACAGCCATTAAAACTAAATAAGTAATTAAACTTTGATTTTAACGTATGAAAAAAAACTTTGTATTTTCATTTTCTAATTGTTTACTAAGTAATTTATGAAATAGATGTAGGTATGAAAAAAAGGAGCTCTCAAGAAACAAACTTTAGAAGGCATTAAGTTTAACAAAAGCTGAGTCAGTACTTTAGAACGCGCCATTCCAAGGTCAGGACGATCCGTTTACACACTGAAATGGATCGTTCTTAAATTGGAACGAACTATTCCAGACTACTGAAAAGGTCTAAAACCTAAACTGGCCACTCAGGCAATTATATGCTAAACTCAAATCTAAAACGGGCCGTTCCAGTTAAGAAATTAACGCATAATGAAGAGGTTTAGAACGGGCCATTCCGAATATGGAACGAGCCGTTCTGGCCACTTCTGATGTCCATAAGTTGCAGACTTCTCCGGGGGCCGGAAAAAGTGGTCTAGACTCCTACATAGCTCGAAAAGTCTCTTTCGGTCCTCCTTCTTGTAATGAGTGTGGTGGCGTACAGAAAAGGCGGATGTTTGTTTTTTGGGCTTGTATTGGACAGCCACAGATTTTAGAGGGATTCGGAGCTCATCAACCACGCGAGATCCGGCTGCAAAGGCCACCCCGTTTGAGATTCACAGACTCCTCCAACAAGTGAGTATTTTTTTTTTTATTTTTGTCTTTTTTATTTTTATTTTTTTATTTACCATTTAAAATAAATTTCATATAAATAGATAATATTTGCAGATAATGCTAATAAGTGAACTAGAATTAAATAATAAATTTTAATTTTTTAAGCAATATTTATAGTTAAAATCCTATAAATAGAAAAGGCAAACATTACAAACTTTACAATTTAAGATTAGTTTACTGGTTCATCAAATTATTCCACTCTGAGAGCGATAAATAAAACCTAATTTTGCTACAAAAATTTTCCATTAATAATCACTTTCATACAACAAGAACAGTTATCTGAAAACCCGAAAGACTTCTTCGAACACAATCTGCTACGACACTGAGGACAACGTGTGTCCTCTCGTCTTCTCGGTGAGTTTCAAAATCCTCACTTTTATTCGCAAATGGCTTATTTCTATATCAATTTTAGGACTTGTTGTTTAATGACATATATCATATTTAATTTAACTATACTCAGTATTTCAGCGAGTAAAGTAATTCATTTGATTTCTGGAACATTGTGGACCTAAACCCAGTTTCTTCTGAAACTGGGATGAGTTTTGAAACAGTTTTGTTGAGTTTGTATTCTAATGTATTTGTAGTGCTACATATTTTGTACAGTTTCTTTGCCATTCCCCATCAATTATGTTGAAAGGTGTTGCATTTCATGTTTGCAGCTTCTGCAGGAGGATCCCCCTTTTTGAATTGAGTTGCATGGTCAAACCTATTTGATTGAATTTGTTTTCTAAGGTATGGAAGGGTTATTGAATTCTTTGCTTAACCAAACTTGCATAAAACCCTTTGGTTTCACTCCAAGACTTAGTTATACTTTCCCTGTGACCACAAGAACTGTGAATTTAAATCGGAAACCCGAATCCTGCACGTTGAGAAGTATCTGCACACAATTAGGTAGAGACACTGGCACTAGCTCCAGAGGGGAAAGTGCTGCTGCACTGGACAGTGATGGTAAGGGAGAGGAAGCAAATATGGACTGGGAATTGGAGTTCCTTGGGGAGTTGGACCCATTTAGTTACCGAGCTCCCAAGAAGAGGGAAAAAGAACAGAAGTCAAGGTTGCTTGAAGCCACTGATGGAATGGATTGGTGTGTGAGGGCGAGAAAGAAGGCGTTGAAATCAATTGAAGCGAGGGGTATGACTCATGCAATGGAAGATTTGGTTACTGTTAAGAAGAAAAAGAAGAAGGATAAGAAGAAGTTGGAAGGTAAGAAAAAAATAGTTAAGAAAATTGAGGAAATAGATGATCTTGATTTTAGTTCGGAGGAAGACTTGCTGCAGCCTATGCAACCTAGGAATGATGTTGGTGAGTTGAAAAGGAGAGTGAGTATGTTTGCCAATGGAATGTTTATAGAAAAGAAGGAGAAAAAAATGGAAGAATTTGTCAATAGGCTTTCACAATTCTCTGGGCCATCCGATCATAGAAAAGAAGTAAATTTGAACAAAGCAATTACAGAAGCACAGACTGCAGATGATGTGTTAGAGGTTACTTATGAAACAATTGTTGCAGTTGCAAAGGGCCTAAGTCCCTCACCTCTATCCCCATTGAATATTGCTACTGCTCTTCATCGCATTGCTAAGAATATGGAGAAGGTTTCTATGATGCGAACTCGAAAACTGGCGTTTGCTCGACAAAGAGAGATGTCTATGCTTGTGAGTGTTGCGATGACAGCCTTACCTGAATGCTCGCCTCAGGGAATCTCTAACATATCTTGGGCATTGTCCAAAATTGGAGGCGAATTGCTTTATCTTTCAGAAATGGATAGAATTGCAGAGGTTGCACTGACCAAGGTTGGGGAATTCAACTCTCAAAACATTGCAAATATTGCAGGTGCCTTTGCTGCAATGCAGCACTCTGCTCCTGATCTATTCTCAGAGTTGTCAAAAAGGGCTTCAGACATAATTCACACCTTCCGAGAACAAGAACTTGCTCAGCTTTTGTGGGCTTTTGCTTCTCTATATGAGCCAGCTGACCCTGTATTTGATTCTTTAGACACAGTCTTCAAAGATCATTGCCAATTGAGAGGTTGCACAGGTGAAAAGACATCAAATAATCGTGAACAAATCGGTGTTGGTAGAAGTGGTGCCTCAAATGGATCTCACGCCTCTCCTGTACTAACTTTAACCAGGGATCAGCTTGGGACCATAGCTTGGTCCTATGCTGTCTTTGGGCAAATGGATAGGAGATTCTTCTCTTATATCTGGAAAACTCTCAGCCATTATGAGGAGCAGAGGATTTCAGAGTTGTATAGGGAGGATATGATGTTTGCCTCTCAGGTTCATCTTGTAAACCAGTGCTTGAAGCTTGAATTTCCACATCTTCAGTTGTCACTATGTGGTGAGCTTGAGGATAAGGTTGCTCTTGCTGGAAAAACCAAAAGGTTTAATCAGAAAATAACTTCATCGTTTCAGAAAGAGGTTGGACGCCTTTTGGTTAGCACTGGCCTTGAATGGGTCAAAGAATATGTTGTGGATGGTTACACTTTGGATGCTGTGATCATTGATAAGAAGCTTGCTCTGGAGATTGATGGTCCAACTCATTTCTCAAGAAACATCGGTGTGTATATTAAATTTGTAACCTATTCTATTACATGTAGTTGAATCTTGACTAACCAGTTTATTATTTTATTCTTTTGGCCTGTTATAGGTGTTCCATTAGGACATACCATGCTTAAACGCCGATACATCACTGCTGCTGGTTGGAAAGTCATATCATTATCCTATCAGGAGGTGAGCTCTTATTTAATACTTCAGACATGTATCTTATCCACTTTTAATCCCCCAACATTTCTTACCATACAAAATAAAAGACATAAAACCATGAAGTTGATCATTTTATGTGCCTTTTTGTCTTATCCTTGGATGATTGTCTTTCAAATTACACTCAGCAGAAATATTTATTAGCGTAAGAAGCACATACTCCGACATGAACATTTGACACCACATGGACACAGTTAATGTCTAAAAAGTAGGACATGGGGACAGAACATATATATATATATATATATATAAGCTTTGAAATTTTTATATGATAATGACTCAGAAAATGAACTATATCTCTTAAAAGTTAAAACATCGAGTAATTCTTATGAAAATAAGTCTCACAATAAATAAAAAATGTTATGAGACTTGCAATATTTTGTAACTAAGTTGACTTTTTAAATTTTTTTATAATAGATTAGATAAATGTTCAACTACGAGTAAGAGTCAACTCACCCTCTTAGCTTGTTCAAGTTGTGCCAAAAAAAATGTTAAAGTTGTGACAAAGAGGTGTCCAAACCAAATATAAAAAAATTTTAATTGTGACATTCTGTAGATGTGTCGGTACTTCATATTCACAGTCTTCTAGCTTCTCACCTGTCATTATTCCAAATTTTGTTGAGGATGGCAAAATCAATTTCACCACATGATGGTGTTCAATTGTTACACCCTCAAACATGTGACATCTCTGAATCACTAATGCAATAAGTCATAACTAAGACTTGTGATATGTCCTGTCAACTTTTCCCCAAGCTTGCTCCTAAACTTTTTCATTTTTATTTATTAAAAAAAAAACATGACATATGCAATATGCTCATTTCCAAAGCAGAGGATATGAGTCTTGCTCCTCAACTAAACAATTTAAGGGTTTTTAATTGTGTGTTCGGATTATAGTTCCATTCAACTGAACCTACATTCAACTTAATCCATCACTGACAAAGCTTTTCTGTTTATGCATTGGAAAGTGCAAAACTTCCGTTTAATGTCGTTTTGACAGGTTTCCAACAACCTTTAATGATGGGAATCTTGATTTGTCTTGGAATAATTTATTGATGAAAAGGCTTTTTCTTGTAGTGGGAGGAACTTCAAGGAGCATTCGAACAAGTAGAGTACCTTAGGAACATTCTCAAAAATCATCTAGATGAAGGATATGTCATAACTACATCGACCGAGGTAAAGTGATGATCCTATGCAGCTTGTCAAGCATAAGGAGATTTCAGATATGTATTTTTTTTTTTATTAAGCTCCCTTGAGAAATTTTAGTAAAGGGAATGTTTATTTCTTAGGAATATTACATTTCAACAACATTCACACCACTTCCCTTATTTTTTTTTAAGTAAATATGACTTTAGTCCCAAAAATTAGCACAAATTTATTTGGCTCCTAATGTTAAAAAATGCAAATATAGTCCTTGACTTAAACAACACTTAATCATTTTGCTCCTAAATTTAACATTGTGAGTCATTTGGTCCCTTACATCACCAAATTAGTCTATTTAATCTCTAAATCTAACAACTATCGTTAATTTTGTCTATGAAAAGTTGAAAACCTTTTGCCAATTTGGTCCAAAATGTAGGGACAAATTGGCTTATGCGCATCAAATTTAGGGATCAAAATGACTTAAAGTTGCTAAAGTCAATGATTTAGTGTGTTTGGGAAATAGTTAAATTCACTGTAATATACATTTATTTGAGCCTTGCTCTCTTGTTACTTCTAACTTCTAAGTTTGATGTTTTGGAAATTGTAAACCGTCGTTTGAAAGCTTTAAAATGGAAAACCAAACATTCTGGGAATTGACGAGGCCAAATGCCAAGAATTATTATGGCTGATGGTTGCCATTTTGAAGCACTATTTTTTTTTTCATGGGATAAAATGATCATTAAATTGTAATATTAAAGACTGATTTGATGGATTACTCTTTTTTCTTTTGGTTAGTTTACGGATAAAGGATTTTTGCAACCACAGGCTTAAATAATTTATGTACAAAAGGAATGTGAAAGAAAATAGTGGAGATAATCGTCTGTATCATCTCTGTTGTTAACTATTCTTACTACTCTATTTGCTTTCTTTTTTCTGTTTTTTTTTTTTTTTAAATTTTCTTGGCTGGATTAGCTAAAATTACGAGACTTCAGGGCCACCTAACCAGCAAGAAGTTTAGGGAATAATCTAAAGCTTCAAAATTTTAAAAATTTTACTATTAAATATCTAATTTGCAATTGTATATTAGGTCTAATTTTATTTTGATTAAGTACTCTAAGATATTAAATAAAATTATCCTAGTGTTTATGGAGTAAAAAAATTATCAGTGTTCCTAACCACGATGTGGACATCTGAAGAATAAATAAAATTTATCATAGTGTTCCTAACCACTTCAACATTAAGCCATTAGATTGAGAAGTTTGCACTCTTAGCATTACAAACAATGTTGCTTAGCAATTCAGCTTCAGTTGCAGTTTCTTAGCATTCCCTTTGGAAATTGCTTTGGATCAGTGATTCAGTGTGATAGGCCCTCATTATTCATACTGTAAAGATAAATATGCCTACAATAGGACTCCAACAGCCATCAAATTCTGATTGGCAAATCTGGAAATTCTGGTTCTTGTCTTTCTCTGAACTGTAGAGGACTTGAAAAATCAGTCTTACAAATCAGATATTTAGACTACAAGTATTCCTAGCACATAATGAATATAGTTTCGCATTCATTCAGTATATACTGTTGGTGAGTTGCATTGACATTTTTGGTGGATGACTATCACACTCATATTGAGGCTTTCCAGAATTTCTATCTTGAGATATAGTTTTTGGATGAAGTGCATGGTTCAGATTAGAGAGTAAAGTGAACTATCAATAAACATCAAATAGAAAATAAAATTTAAATTTTGATTGAAAAAAAATGTGCATGGATAACAAAACTTTGCATTTGTTATAAATCAAATCCCGTGGTTGTTTACATCAGTAGTTATTTCTTATTACTCTGCACTGTGCACTTTATAGTATCCAAATCCTTCAATGTCTTTTACTGGTTGGAAGAAATGTTGGATGATGTCACTGTTGCCAACTTTGCCATCTAACTCTGATATACCCATTTTTGTGTTCTTAAGCCTTGTCCATGCTTAAAATCTTTGATAAATGGATTTTTCACTTTATGTTTATCCGGGAAGAAGTGCTAGCTAATGCCTCTGTCGTGAAGTCTGGAAGAAATTTGACTGTTGTTGCAGTTGAGTTTAAACTGAAGAAAACTGGGAAATTGCACTATATTACTCAAGCTACCTTCTATAACATGCCAGTTTCCAGTTTACGAATATTTAGCTTCCTGATGGATGTTCATTTTAATGTTTTTCCCATAACATGATTCTTCAAATCAGGCCGATTCTTATTGGTGATAAATTTATAGTGCTTTATTATTATGTGTTAATTATGCCTATTGCCATAGACATCGTGTTGATAAATTTCTTATACAACAAATATGATAATGTCAAAAATAGAATGTAATAACCATTAATTTAGGACTTGCCAAAGTCTGAGTCATGAAATTATTTTTAGCGAAATAGGAGGACTATTGTGGTTGGTATTCAACACTTACCCACGAGTAGTTTGAACTCTGATAAACTAGTCTTTTATCTTATTTAATTTATTAAAATTAGTACCTTAATTTTTTTAAAGATGTAATGTGATTTTTTCTGTCCAATTTAGATATAATGACATTAATATCTTATACATTTGACATAATAAAAAATTGACATGTATAATTATGTGTACAAAACTTTAATGTAGTTAGTTTTAATTAAATGACAAGAATCATAGTACATTATTTTATAAAAAAAAATGAGAAATTAAATCGAATCTTTTAACAATAAATTAACAGACGAAAAGAGTATTTTACCTTTTCATGTATATATTGGAAAAGATGAGAATGTATTGTGCGATAATAGTCGAGATGTCAGTGAGTGTCACTACCATACAGTTAATATATTGATTTTTCTCTTCTTTTTTAGCTTTCGGAACTTGATTAATTGATGCGAGATGCACGGCCACCAAGCACAACCTTTTGGTTTTAGAAGAGAAAAAACTGTCAACAAAAACTAAAACATAAAAAGTAGTTTCTAGATATAAGAAATAAAATATAAAAATTGTACAAATGTAAAACGCTAAAAAAAATAGTACAAATATAAAAGACTAAAACATAAAATACAACATATTTTTATACTGCCTGTGACATCTATCGATAATGACAATTTTTTTAATAATAGGAGAAAAACAAAACTAGAGTTTGTACAGCTATAAAAACTAAATAAGTAATTAATCTTTGATTTTAGCGTATGAAAAAAATAATCTTTCTATTTCTTTTAATTGTTTACTAAATAATTTATCAAAATAATAGGATTGTAATGAGTGTGGTGCCGTACACAAAAGACGGATGTTTGTTATTTCGCCTTCTATTGGACAACCACAACTTCAATTATGCACAAAACTAATAATTAAATTGAACCTTTTTTTTTAATCTTATTTATATTTGATAGTTTGAGTATGTTTTCACTCTTTGGTTGCTTAGGCATGCCTCCATGCAAGTTTTACTGACACATCCGTGAAAAATTCCATCCATTAACCACTTCTGTCACCGTGCCTTCGACAACCATGGACGATACACCAAATTAACCTCGTTGAGAAGTCAAAGAAATAAAAACATGCGTCATTAATCAGATGCTGACAGAGAATGGAGCATGTGTTACTGTTTAAATTTTCCTCTAAGTATGACCTCTATGCACATCACAAATAAAATCCTTCGGTTCATAAACAGGAGTGAAAATAAAGCCCATGACCCACTTGCACTGTCAGAAATTTCCAGCCACAGCATGCAAAAGGATGATTATATACACTCTGCGTGCCTCAATAGCAACAACTCTGCACCTCAAAATCATTTACAAATTCGCAATGCTTCGCCTCTCCCGAGTAAGGTTCAACAATAAAGTGTCATCTTTCCTGTGATCTGGTGTTGCTCTGAATATTCACGTCAAGCTAGCTGCTCTGCTGATGAATGATTCCAAATGGTGACATATACAACAATGTCAGAAGAAAAGATTGAAAGTTGAAACAGCCAATGTGCAATGTGCAAGAAACACAAAATAGTAGTAACAATCCATTTTTCATTTTGGAATTTTTATACAGAAACTAAACCAAAGAAAAAGGCTTTAACACCAAGCTTACCGCATCCTTTACACCCCAAGTGGCAAGTGGAAATATTTCAAATTGGCTTACTTGCCCTCTATAGTCAATTTACTTTCTCAATTTCGTGAACATTGTGCCCCTTTTTCTTTTTGCGAATTTAATCCTTTCACTATTTTAATTGTGCAATTTTGATTCATATGCTCACTTATCATCCCATATTTAACGAAAATGCTGATGTGGCACTCTACTGCATTTCCATTAAATGAAAAGGACAAGTAATGATGTACATACCGAACCCACACTGTTGGTTTACATAAAAATGGCATTGACAAAGGCCTCCGCATCAAAGGGTTGAAGGTCTTCAACACCTTCACCAACTCCCACAAATTTTACAGGGATTCCGAGCTCATCAACCACGCTGACCTGCCCACATAAATTAGTCCTTACCATATCATCACCCCAGCAACGAAAATGACTACCAATAGTAAAATATTATTCAGCCCATAAACTATTAAATATTCATTAAAAAAAATGAAGAGAATACCACACAGCCACCTCTAGCAGAACCATCCAGTTTGGTCAAAATTAAACCAGTAACACCCACGACCTGTCTCAAGTTCAAAGGATTCAGAGTCAAAAACAATTTCAATAACAGCTGACAAGAAGTTAATATGAATGTCACTTGGTATTATCATATATTGATAACGGGGCTTCAAGAATATAAAATAACAATTTCCCAAAATTCAACAAATATACAATTTAAAAGGCAAAATAGAATTTACATCATTGAATTCTCTCGCTTGTGGCAACATATTCAAACCAGTAGTCCCGTCCAGAACAAGTAGGATCTCCTGCAAGCACAGTCAACAGTAAAACCCTCGTTTGATGTTTTAGAGATGTGTGTGAGAGAGAGAGATGGAAAACATGTTCAGGGAAAGACATTTTTCTTTAAATCTCCTCCACATACATCAAGAAGTTTTACTAAACTACAGAGAGAACTAAGGACAACTAAATAAGTACGACCTAACAAATACACAGTAGTTACATTAAAAGATACCAAAAAATGATGATGATGATGATGATTCATAGTTTCATATACATAACGAAGACAGTCCAATACATTGTACTAAAACTTGCCACAACAGATTGAACTCTGTCAAGCATCAATATGTCTAAACTCTAAAGTGAAAGAAACAAATGCCATAGATGTAGTTCACTTATTGGAAAAACAATTTCTGTCATGCTACTGAATAATTTATTAACTCAGAGACTGCAAAGAGAAAATATAAAAATTTAAAATAAATTTTCTCAGACATTAAGAATACGCATCTCCACCCGTTCCATTTTTTTTATAACACTTCTTAGAAATGATCAGGGCTTGTCCAAGTTTTCACTAACAAGTAACAACGGATTTGCTCCAAACACATTCTCCCATTTCTGACCATGAAAGTCCTCAATGAAAAATTCACATGAGACGTGAAAACCTACAACCAGGTAAGAAAGAAGTCCAAAAGACAGAGGTTTTAACTTATAACAAGTTTAATCACTTTCTTTTCAACTTCTATTTAAGAATAAAAAAATTTCGTTTAACAGGGCACAGGGTGGGTGTATTGATAAAAATAGACAATCAAAATACCATCGACATTTATAATGATTCCATCAACTTCCACCTAGAAGTCTAAAAGCTTACTCCTAAAAATTGTCAGAAAAGGAAAAAGGGAGGTAACAACAATAAAACTTTTTTAAGCCATTAAACTGACAGTGGATACAAAAACAAGCATGGTATGATCTAGTGCTCAGCAATTCCCAAACATTTAACAGCAGCAAGATGTTTAAGTTGAGATGGGAATAAGGAAAAAATTTGGGCTTACGTTAGGTGCACCAGGAATGACTTTGGCAACAGACTTTTTACAAGAAATCAACTCTTCCATTAGGCTGTAATTAGTGTGTAAACCTGAGAACATAACATGAACCCCAATGCTAATACATGTAGATAGTTCATTAAAACACAAAACAGCTAGTGTAAAATTTCTGTACTTACGCCCAGATGTATCACATAATACAATATCAAAACCCAGCTCTTTTCCCTTTTTTACAGCCTGTGAAAGCACTGCAAGTAGTACAGTGGGTACAAAATTTAGTATCCACAACAACAATAACAAATAATACAATTAGAGAGGCTATAAAGTTTACAAGTGATAAACTGCAGATCAAAGAGCAAAATATAATTCTCTTTGCACCTGATGATGCTTTTGCTTTCTCTGATTCAGCCACAACAATCTCACACCCAGTCCTTTCAGCCCATATTTCTAACTGGTCACTGGCAGCTGCTCTAAATGTATCACCAGCTGCCATCAATATCTGGTGGATTTTTAAAAATGAGAACAGAAGACCACCATGAAATTATATATCTACAATGTGAAGCATAAATATGTGACAGGTAATATGATACAACCATAGATATTATAGCTCAAACACAAGAACAACATCCTTCAATTCCTTTTAACCTTGAAACAAAAAATATTATTTTAAAATTTTAAGAGGTATATGGGAATGGCACCCAATACATAAACAACATTTTCTATTTTTAGAAAATGTAGCCCAAGAATTTTAATGTATTATCTTCTCTGAATAAAAAGAGGGTAATCCTTGGGTGCAATGGTAAAGTTGCTGCCTTGTGGCCAGGAGATCATGAATTCCAATATTGGAAGTAGTCTCTCCACTTGGAAGGGTAAGGCTGCGTACATCTACCCTACCCATACCCCATTTTGTGGAAGCCTTGTAAATTGAGTCTCTCTCTCTGAATAAAAAACTTATGGTATAAAATAATACAAACCTTAATGTTGGGGAATGAAGCATCGTAAGGCCATACTGCAGACAGTATAATCATGCACCGCACTAAGGCCAATTTTCACTTATTTGAAAACATTAAAATATGCAGGAGTTGACTAAATATAGTCAAGGACTTAACTGAGAAAATTGGAAGCATGATTGATAATAACAACCAAGCCCCATAAGATAGGATCAGCAACATTAATGAACTAATTCCATTAGAATATAGTCTTTTTTAGTGGTTTCTACTTATATTTTCTTAGGTCTTCCTCATCCCCTTGTGATCACATTTTCTTCCTTTGATCCATTTTTCTTATTTGAGATATACAGCATCTTTCAAGGATCCAAAGAGAGTTTTACCCGACTCCTGGATTTATAGAAGAAATAATTATTCTGAATAAGGGCAAGGTATCCTCTACAAGCAAACAAAACATGATGGGGGGAAATGAAAGGAAAGAGAAAACTAATATTTAAGAAGGATAGTCTAATCTTTCTGCAAGTTAGAGGTTGAACCACCCTCAAGACAATAATGGCAGAAGACCAAAGAGAGGCTAAAAACTGCTTCTTCTTTTATCCATAGGAATCAAACTTGGTACCAAGGGGTTACAACAGCTCCCACACAATGTTCAATCAAATAAGCTAAATTCACTTGGTGGCTAAAAGGTGCTTTGATCAAATGGAAGTCATTCTTTGTGATATTTAACTGAAATACTTGAAAGTTGCTCATTGGGCCTCCAATGACACCATTATACAAGCCCTTAAAATTCAGACAAGGGTAATCCAGCAGGTTTAAGTGGCTAGATTTCTACACTAAGCTTCAGTTAAATGGGACTTCCTGTTGACCAACAAACTTTCAGTTGGAGATCAAAATCACAAACCAAAGCAACACTCGGATAATATATCTAACCTTAGCCCCTTCATTCTTCAATCTATAAGCCAGCTTTCCTGCAAATAAAAGCTGATCAAGTTGGCTTGGTTATCAAAGTTTAAACTGTCAAAAACAATTCCATTGCTTATTAGAGAAGATGGAAGAAGGGTTTCGTCAAAAGATTATCAGTGTAAGAATTTAAAATGTATGTATAATACTAATAATAGTTATCGTGATCTATAATCATTTTTATAATTTTCCTTGACATAATATAAGCTTTGTAGCATTTTAGCTTATTCATTAACAGTAAAGAAAATAAATCTCTCCTGAAACATAAAGAGGAAAGACAAACTGCATGCTGTCTCAATTATGTATTTCATTTCTCACTAAAGAATGGAATCAACAACTCAAGTCTGTTTCTTACCCAAAGATGTTGTTTTCCCTCCACCATTAACACCAACTATCATTATTACAGATGGCTTCCTGAACACAACAAAAATTAACCCAATATGAAGCACAAAAATGAAGCCAATAAAATTTAGTGACAAAGTAAAAAATGCTCACACCTGAATCCAAGTTGAAGTTCAGTTTTACTGCCCTTGGAGGTTAGCAATTCCAAAACATTCCTCTTCAGTGCTTCCTAAAGTTGTTCAAATTAATGCACATTACATTCGTTATCATAAAATTAGAATTTCCAGTTATATAAAGTAACATGATAAAACCCAAAAACCACAAGTGTATACCAAACATTCTTAAAACTGAGACAAATACAAATCAAAATTTCAAACTGGTTAAATTACATTTCTCAATTAAAATACCTTGTCCAAACACACCATAAATAAAAAGTAAAGCATTTGATAAATTAGGAACACAAAACATGTCCTTCAAAATATTAGAAACATTTGAATAGAGGATTATTTTCTAAGATATTATATGTTCCTTAACCAATATAGACACTTGTTAAGAAAAACTAAAAATTTCATTATTTAATTTAGTGCATGTTTGTTTCAGCCATTTTTTTTGAAACTGTAATCATTTTATTTTTTCAAAAAAACCCATTCCCTCCAAAATAAGCTAATCCTCACACATGACACAACTACTAAACTCGTGCTAAATTACAACAACATATTCTTGAGTCCTTGAAGCCATTTCAATCACATTTTAGATGAGTAACCCATGAATGAAGTTCAAAGATTTTCTTCTATGTTATCTATCTTATCAGTTCAATCGATACCTTTATCTCATTCCCTGATTTAAGCTTCCCTGAAAGTATGTCCTCGCGCAAATTCTCCACTATCTTAATAGTGATTTTCGGCCCAAAATCAGACACTAAAAGAGCCTGCAATAAATAAATAAATAGTTTAATTAAAATGCAATGTTAATGTAAGTTTTTCACATCATTATTCAATCATAGATCATCACATTCATTAACATCATTGACTTGTAGTAATAATTAGTTTAAAAATCATATCTAAGATGAATTCTAACTAGTTGATAATGTACAATTTCTTACACTGATAGTGAGTGTATTGTACAAAGTAAATTATAAATGCTAGTAACACTTTTTTAAACACATTCTTTGTTATTGACCTTGTTGAAAATTACAAAGTTTTGTTGGTCTAGCATCTTATTAATGAGATTTGCTCATAAATTTGTAGTTTTAAATTTCAACTAATAACAAAAAGTGCATTAGAATGAGTACAATAAAGATTATGTCGATAACACTTCTTTACTCACAAATAAATAAAAAATAAAATAATTAGCATACATTGTTTATTTACCATATAAGATAGCATTGATAACTTTTATAATAATTGCTTCTTTTATAGAGTAATGTTATTTCCTCGTACAATACAAAAATATCTTCAAACGAAAAAATAAATAAATGCACTTAATGTCTATAAATATAAAACAAATAAACCTTCAATTTCATCCCTAAAGTATTAGTCTATCCTAATTGATCTAAAAGTAAAAAAAATATATTTTTATTGACATTTAGGGACCAATTTGATGATTTTTAATTACTTGGAGTACTTATAAGGATTTCTAATAGTTGAGGATTTGCTTATACAAGAGAGAAAATATTACTAAATTGATGGTTTATTCAATATAAAACACATTCAAATAAAATAAACCATCAATTTGAACCTTAAAGTATTTCTCCTCCTACATACTCCTTAAAGTAATATAAATTATATATGCAGTCCTTTAAGTATTGGAAAACATGATACATAATCCCTCAAGTATTGAAAAATTCTTGAAATGAGTATCCCATTGTTAGCATAATATATTAATGTAGGAACTAAACTAATAGATTTTCAATATTTTAAGGATTGCTTACATAGTTTCATTACTTGAATTATTCAAGGGAGAGGGTAATACTTGTAGGACAATCAAATTGATGGTGTATTCCAAAGTAGGAGGATTAGAAGTAGGACATTGTAGGATGATAAGTTTATAATATAATCAATATATATATATATATATATATATACACACACACACAAATCATATATTAGATTTTCATGATACAATAAAATTTGAATTATACTTGTAGTGACTTGTCGGGATAAATGAGCATCATTATAATACCAACCAACAAAAGAATATTTCACCTTAACCAACAATAAGATATTTCACCTTCATTTCTTGCTCATTTAAATCCCCAAGGTCAAACCTCCAGCTACAAATAATTCAAACTTTATCTTCTATGGCCATAGAATAATATTTATCTTCATAAATACATGAAGAAATAACAACAAAAATAGTCCAAGATATCACAACTATATTATAGTTGATTATAAAGTATATTTACAATATTTATGTAACAAGAATATATTAAAAGTATCAATCATATAAATGAAAATGATAATTATTATAGAATAATTAAACAATATAAAATATGAACATCTTATTAATTATTATAATATATATGATTTATAATTTATGATTGAATTATATTATAAAAATTGCATGCATAGCCTATTTTCTCTGTAATAATTACATTAAAAATTATATATAGGATAATTCATTAATTCCTAATGATTGACTAAACAGCACACAACAATTAAACAATAAATAAGAAAAAAAAAATGAAAGTGATTAAGAAGAACCTCTTCGAGTTCATCGAGTACTCGGTCGGTGTCGGCGAGGTTCCAATAGAGGAGAAGCTCGTCGATGACGGCGAGGTTGTTGCGGGTCTTGGAGAAACCCGAGAACACCTTCTCCACGTCGCTCTTCGCCTTCTCCTTTAACAACCGCCCCAGTTTCGTGAAGAACCCGGTCTGACCGGCCGAGCACCTGAAGCGGGCCGCGCCGGTTCGTGAATGAGGGTTTCCGGTTGGAGTAGCGATGTTGAAGAGGATGAATTGTGGATGGGAGGAAAGTTTGGAGATGACGGAGAAGCGAGCGAACGAAGCAGAAGTGGTAGCCATTTCTGCTGCTTCTAACTTCTAAGTGCTCCACACTTTGCTCAACCACAACAAGATAAAGTGCGCAAAAGTGACGCCGTTTTGAAATATCGAAACGTCCTCCTTACAGAGTATACTTGATTTGATTTTATGTTTAATTATCAGAACCACACAAATTACATTAACGGTGTTGAATTTTGAAAATGCTCCATCTTGAGGGATTGAAATGCAAAAAGTAAAATTTTAAAATGGTAGTAGTAGTACCGTGGGAGAGTATAAAAAATATATATGGTGTAGTTAGTTAACCTGGATCAAAGGTTAAAGTTGCAGCAAATTTTGTTGTCCTCCAACAGGTTCGGTTTATCGATCACAAAACTGGGTGCTAACCCACAGATAAAGTTGAAATATTTTGTTTTCTAAATTAATAAAGAAATATTTTTGGTACTAATTTCTAGATACTCATCTATTTCCACGGTTTTCTTATATCCAATCAGAGTATTTTTTAAAAGTTATTTTAATAATAAAGTGCTAGTAGTTTTTAAGATGAAATATTTTTAATTTTTATTATGAATAAAATTATTTTCTAAAGTTATCTAATCGCATGTCTTATTTCTATCCTATATTAATTATTATTTATTTATATTATCTATAAATTAAATTTTAATATTTTTTTGAAAAAATAAGTATTAGTATTTAAAAATAACCAAGTATGAAAATATAAATTATTTATTGAAAATTTTAATTTAAATTAATGTTTTACAAAATTATATTATTACAACTTTTAATTATAATATAATTTATATATTTAAAATATTTATTTATATATTATAACTTTTAACTACATAGAAATTACACAAAATAAAATATTAATTATAAAATAATTTGTTTAATAAAATAATTTTCTATTAAATAACAATATATAAAAAAATTTACACTAAAACACATTTTATATTATGTGTTAATGTCTTATATTTATACATATTATGCATGCACGCGCACACACATACATACACACATATATATATATATATGAGATATGTTTATTCTAATAGTAAACTTATCTAGATTTACTTTTATTTAATAATTTATATTCTATATCAAATTTTAATTATGTAGTTTTTGAATTTAAAATATCAAATACTTAATTTATACATTACTAGTAGGGTCGAGGCACTTCGTGCCTCTATCTGTATTTTATTTTAGAATTTAAAATAATTTATTTATAAAAATTTAATTGGCTTTTTTTTTGTTATACATATATTGATTAATTTATTTTTTTATAGAAATTATTAACATAATTTCATGGTAAAATTTGAATAAAATTGAGAAAATATTTAATTTATTATTTTTAAGTTTAAATTTAATTTAAATTTAAAATTTAAAGTTTGAAATTTAAAATTTAAAATTTAAAATCTAAAATTTAAATGTTAAAATTTAGAATTTGTAATTCAGAATTTAAAATTTAAAATATAAAATTAGGCATATATTAAATTTGAATTTTTAATAAAATAGTTATATAATTAAATTTTTAAATCTATTAAGATAGTAAGTTTAAATATGATTTTTTTTATAATTTTAAAGGGAAAAAAAATGAGAAAATAGAGATATTTTAAATTTAAATTTTTAATAACTTGAGTAAAATTAAATTCTTTGTAAAAATAATACACAAAAAAGAATTCATTGTAAAAAAGGCTAAACTTGAGAAATACATTGAGTTTATTAATTACGTAAACGTACGTAATTAATTTAATTATAAAAAAATTATTGTTATTATTTAATGGAACATATTATGGTTGTTAAATAAAATTAAAGGAAAGTTTTGAAATTTAACGTGAATCATGAAGATATTCTCAATGGTGACTTTTATTTAAAATCCTTCTTATATGCGAAATAAATAATAGAAAATATCAATGGAATAAAAAGTAGACAAAAAATGGAAGAATTACTTTAGTAGAAGTATAGCAAACCACAAAGTGTTGGATCTTAATTTTATTGCAAAATGTTGATACTCCAAATGCAAACAAAGCATTAAAAACAACCTAAAAACCAAAGTCAAAATTAAATTATTGTCATTTATTAAAAAAAATGCATTTTAATAGATTGATTTATTCTTATTAAATAATAGCATCCTCATTTAAGGAAACTGTCTCAGACCATTATTTGATACCTATTTCAATGATTAAGTTATTCAAAGTGAAAGTAATGCCATTTGTACTGAAAGTACAACCACCCTTAGTTCTTCGCGATGTAATATCATAAAGTTGTCAAAGGGCAAATACCTATCAGTTATTCTAAACTTTATCCAATTAAGGAAAGTCAATTTGACGGTTGAAATAAAACAATTTGCAGGGAAAAATGCAATGTGAATATTCCAGACCCAAATATTCATTCAAAAACCCCAATAAACCTATAAAAAAAATTTGAACTATGAGAAAACCTCAACATGGAGCAAATTTTCAGAGTGAAGGAAACAACGAAATCTAATATACATAAGCGCAAAGGCACAAAAATAAAAGAAAACAAAATTACTCCAAATCGCATATGAACCTTTATAAGTCGCACTATTAACTATGTATGGTTTACGTTTTTAGACGAAACATTCAAAATGAAAGGAAAACAAAATGAAATGAAACCAAAAATGAAGGGGATGTATATAATGGAAAGTATAATAGAGGAAGTGAGAGAGGATATACCGTAATGGAGAATAGATTATGCACTGATGTGTAATTGACTTAACAAAAAGAGAGGAAGCAAGAAAGAAGAAATTGTGAGAGTGGGAATAATGAGTGCAATTACTTAAAAATGTTATTTGGTGAGGAATAAAAGATTTGAAAAATATAGAGATGACAGTTACTTATATTAAGATGGTGGTTATTAAGGGTAAAAAGGTCATACTAAAAGTGGAGACCAAATGGTAGTAATGAATATTTGTATCCCTTTTATATAATGTTATATATATATATATATATA